TTCACAAATGTGTTTCTCATATTTTTCACAATTTTTTCAAAGAATTCAAATAATCTTTTTTGAAATTTGGTGGTCACAACAGTATTGCGATGTAACTTGATTTCGGCATGACGAAAACCGAAAAGAGACACCGTTTTCATGGAAACAATAAAAACAAACGATGTTTGTTCAAATATTTGCTGCGATTCTTAACTGTTCTGAAAAATCATGGCACATCTGGATGTTATCTTTATATATATAATTAGAAGAAAATGTGGGTCGAATTTCAAAATTCGTTATCATCAAAAATTGCCTATGATTAAGACTAATTATCAAAATCAAATTTACTCAATGATTAACGAAATACTAGGAATCAAAGTTATTCATCAATATTATAAAAATATTTGTGATACACAAAATTGAACTCAAATTTACATTTAAAAGAGGTCATCGATCTCTGTACTAAATTCATACATACATGAAATCAAAAAAAAAATGCGCAAATAAAAATTTAAACTATTTTTTTATGAGATTCGCAAAGGAACAGACGGATATGAGAAGTCTAGCAATTATTTTTAATGTCTGCTCCGTAATTTCTGTTTTGTTTCCTCCTTAATTAAAACGGACAGAAGTAGAAGTAAAAAATAGAAATTTTGCATTTGCCTCTCGTTTTTTTTTGCCTGTGGCTTTAAGTGAAAGGGTGCAGCTGAAGAGTTTTAATGATCACTTTTCTTCATTCTAAAAATAATAGTAATTTTTAATTATACAATTTATAATTATTTTTCTCTTGAAAAATTCTTTCCAAAATATTTCAATTTTTATTGATTTTGTTGATGAAACGTGTACAAAATAAGTTAAAAATCAATTTAAAATAGAAATTTCATCATATTTATTTTTTTCGATATAAATAAGATGAAAAATTACATATATATGAAATTGAAGAAAATTTAGAAAAAAAAATCATACTGTCCATTCTGAATTCTTATAATTAAAGTTTCGTTTTTTTTTTGTCACTTTCTTCCATCTAAAAATTTGCATATGTATTTCACTTTTTTTCTAAAAAAAAATAATTTTATACGTTATTTAATGACGTTCAAATCTTTGTCATAAAAGAATGTTTAAAATTCAAAAATTTGAATAATGATTAATGTCTGATATACAAAAATACATAAAAATAATCTAGTTATAAATAAGTGAGAGTTTAACAGATTTTTACTGGATTTACATAATTTATTCTGAACAAAAGTTTTTTTTCTTATATAAATTTTACTTTCTTTATATTTGTTTAAATTTTATATAAATTATTGCGTTTTATGAATAATAAGTAAGACATTTTTTTTTATAATACATTTATTTTCAAAGTCAAGAAAAAACTTAAACAAAATTTTAATAATTTGTGCTTGTTATGTAAACTGTAAATTATTGAATTTATTATGTAAATAATTGTGAATACCTATGGTAAATTTGACCTATTTTCATACGAATAATTTTAAATAATAGTTTTTAGTTCATTTGTGCGAATTTGCAAATAAGTAAATATGATCATTTTATTGAGAAATGATTGAATATGAATAAAATTAACGGCAAATATTAGTGTTGTTGTGCAATATCAAAGTTCAAACTTCATATGCAAAAATAGACATATTTATAGCTTGTACAGAAACGTAGTTCATAGAAATGTGACGTGATTATTTCCAATTACAATAATTTAGTTATATAAAAAATGTCCTTGCATTTGGAAAATTACCAATTATAAAACATCTTTAAGAATTATTAAAAGTATTGTATCGTTACAAAAAAAATGCAAATATTCATATGTTGCAAAATGAAACCTAAATGACGTAAATCGAGATCGTAAAATGTTTTTTTTACTAACATTGATGTTCGAAATCTAAATGAAAAAGTGAATTCTTCAATAGAACTTTAAAAAATAGTATTTGCATAATAATTGTTGAATTTTCTTGTATATTGTTATGTAATTATGAAATTTTTTTTTATTAAATTCTTTGTTTTAACATAAATTCAAAATTATTTTCTTCGTTACTTTCTTAAGTTTTGCTTGATAATCAGTAGAGCGATTGTTGGAATGTGAAGAAATGTGTGTGTTATTAATATAAAAAAATAATAATAAATGTAGGTGGAATAAAAAAATCTTTTTTAATATTACTTTTTTCTCATCAATGTTTTCTTTACAAATCTTACAAAAAAATTGGTAGAAAAAAAATATAACTAACAAATTTAAGTAATAAAAATTGAATAATTTGATTTTAAAGAAAATTGTAAATATAATTTACACAAATTATATACAAAGTGTACAAAATCTATAGGCAATTAACATTCGAATAGAATGGAAAGAGAGAGAGAACGAGATATATAATTGAAAGCAAATAGTAAACATCATTAGAAGCAATGAAATCGCAATTTACAATGAGCAACATCTGCACTTGAGTCCACAATACAATTTACTTAAAAATTGTGAAAGTGATATTGAAAATGAATTTAACGAACATTGGATTCTAGGGAAAAACGAAGAAATTGGAATTGTAATTGAAAAATCTTACATCTTTTAATTTACGAAAAAAAAATACAAAAAAAAATGCACACTTTCAAATCGTTAATAGAAATAGATAAATAATATTATTAATTAATTCGTTTTATTTCAATTATATTGTTGATTCAATTATAAAATCGTAAAGAACTGAAGAATATTAAAAATTTAAAACTTTCAAATAAACAACAGATTTTCTTGTATTGAAATATTGTTAATATTTGTTTGTTTAGACAAATTGTTTGAATTGCGTAATGCAAGTTTCTTAAGAGCCGTAATTGCAAGAATGGATTGAGAACAAGTAAAATAAAGCGGAAACAATATTTGCATACTGGTATAATTATGTCCTTGGCATATTTCCGACTTTGACTTAATGGAGATAATGTATTGAGTGTTACGACTTCTGAAGGAAATATCTTAATAACTTTCTTACGTTGTTTGTAGCATTCACTAAAGAAAACATATAGAAATTACAATTTATTTATACTTTTTTAATTTTTTTGCAGATTGAAAGAAATTCTAAAAAATGTATGACAATTAATATTATATTATAATTTTAACGTTTTGTAATAATTTTGTCCTACAAAACAATCAGCAAAAAAATAACAATTAAGAACTAAATTAAATTAATTTAACAAAAAAAAATCAATGAAAGAAAAATAAATAGTTTGAGTATTTTTTCTATTTATTCTTTAATAACACTTTTAAAATATTTTTTGATAAAATTTTTAATGTTGGGAAAGAAAAGTAATCTTAATTAGCAAGGAGTTTTTTTAATGAATTAACAAAAAAAATCTTTAAAAACTACTATAATTAAACTTTTTACAGTAGAACAAAATATTTTAATAGGAAAAAAATCAAGAATTAAAATTTTTCATTTCATCATTTAATTATTGTTTTAATTTTTTTAAAAAAAGTACACTTTCGAGTAAAAGTGTACTTTCTTTATTTTTTCTTTGAATTTGATATTTGTAAAAAAAAAGTACGTTTAATAATCAATAAGTTACAGATTCTGATCATTTTTCATATATTATTTCATAATGTTCTATTTATAAAGCAAAAATTGAATTGAATTTGTGCGTTTCTTCAAATTTATTTAAAAAATAAACGACGAAATTTTTTTAATGTTTTTTCTACTCATTAAAAAAACAATATTATTTAACAAATTTAATAATTCATGTATTTAAATACATTTTATTTTAAGAAAAAGTTCAATAAATGTAAAAAATAAGATTTTTTTTCAATATTTATCAAAATTGTATTGTTTTATCTAAGAAAAGCAGTCTTAACATTACTTAATTAGCATTGTTGAAAGAGTTTTTTAATAAATTTACTTCAAAAAAGTACAAAAATATAAATTTAAAATTACATAATATTTTAACAAAAAGATCAATTAATTCAACAATCTTTCATTGTTGAATTAACATTGTTGAAAGAGTTTTTTAATCAATTTTAAAGTACAAAAATTTATATATTTTTTTTATCGTCCAACATTTTTTTATTATATAAATAATTCAAGTATGTATACAAAAATAGTAGTGTTAGTTAATGTTAGTTTTAAATATTTTTATCACAATTTTATAGTTACTTAAGAACAGTAGAATTAGCATCTTTGAAGGACTTTTTTAATCAATTTACTTGAAAAAAATACATAAAATTACATTATATTTTAACAAAAAGCTCAAGTATTGAAAGATAGAGAAAATAGTTTTGGTTTTTATTATATTTATTCTTTAATAACTTTTTTTATTAGTACATTTTATCAAAATTTTCTTGTTGCTTAACAAAAGTAGTCTTAACCTTACCTAATTAACATTGTTGAAGGAGTTTTTAATCTATTTTGAAGTACAAAAATTTATATAATTTTTTTTTAACGTCGAACAATTTTTTTTCAATACATAAATAATTCAAATATGTATACAAAACTGGTAGTGTTAGTATTAACATTACTTAATTAGCATCTTTAAAGGAGTTTTTAATAAAATTACTTCAAAAAAAGTACAAATTGTGGTTTTAATTCAATAACAAATAATGTAATATTAACACTATACAAAATGATGTGGGAACTTTTTTTGTCAGAAAACTCAATAAATATAGATTTTACAAAAACAACAAAAATAGAAATTTCGTTTTTGGTATCAGTTCGATATGGGAGATTTCGATAAGAGGAGAAATTGCGAAACTTTCGACATAATTTTATGATAAGAAAGGCTCACCTAATTTTAAGCTCGCTAAAAATTTATGCAAAAGCGAATGTTGTTGTTTCTTTCGCATGTTATTATTATATATTTTTTTTGTTAGTAAATTTCTAAACGGAATTCCTCAGGTGCGAACCGATCGATTTTTGGGCTGTTGAACCGAAATTGGTCGACGCGTGTTTTCTATTGTGCATTTTACCAAGTATTAGTTTAGAAAGGTTCCGTTCCGTCTGTGCATACACATAGTTAGTCCAGTCGGTGGTTAACTGGCGGCACGGAAAGTTGATACCAACCATCATCATCCATCCTATCCCATCCACCCGACCATTCGACCATCGGACTAGCTTTGCTTTGCTCACCTGTTGAGCCCACTCACCTAATAATAATCGCCGCTCGGTCTGCGCTTGCCTGCGACTACCACCATCCATTCAGTCGGAAAGGTGCAATGGTCGTGATCGCCTCGTGAGTGACTCCAAAAAGTTCGTATCCTTCATTTGGACTATACACCCTCATCCATCCATCAAACAATCCTCATCGTTATAAAATAACCAATAGTTTGCGCAAACAATGAACCAAAGTGCTTCAACCAAACTGGAATAGAACCATCAAAATACAAAAAGATACAGAAAAAAAACTAGATCAAAGTATCTTAATCCTACGAAAATGAGTGATTCACCGCAACAAATGAACTCCTTGGACTGTTGGGATTACACGATCGAACTTGAATGTCTTCAAGGGACTCAAGGTAATTCAATTTAAAAAAAAATTACTTACAAAAAAATAGGAAAACTTCGTCGTTTTATGGCATTCCGTGTGTGATTTAATTGACTTTCAATTTTTTTTATTACTATAATTTCCGACGTTAGTGGATTTCTCACTTTCACAAAAAAAAATACTATTTTAATGGGATGAACTAGAAATCCGAAAAACGCATCAATTTTGACTAAAATTTTAGATTATTTTCAATATTATCTCTGATAATAATCCAAGGTTTACTATTTTTATGTAATCCCATAAATATTAAACAATTGAACTTGAAATTGTTTTTTCTTTACATTTTTTTTTTGCTTTATTTCGCAAACAAAATTGTTGTGCAAATTTATTAAATATAATATAAGAAAATTTGCTTTTAGATTTAATAACAGCAAATTTTATAAAAGTTGAGAAACATTTCTTTATTTGCATATTTTCATTAGTTAATTTGGTTCACAAGTGAAAGACAAATTTCCTTCAAAATCATTAATTTATTAAAACTTATTAATTATATATTGTCTTTTTCTCGATTTAATGTGTAAAAATTAAAAAAAAAACGATTTTTGTATTGAAGAAAATTTAAGTAAGATTAAATATTGTTATCTGTAAAAATACTTACATAATTTCAGTGAGAGGTGAATAAACTTAACATTTACTATATATTTATTTGATCTTGCGTGTCTAGTAGCGTTTGTGGTTAATTTTAAAATTAGGTTTAAAAATTCAATAGAAAATTAGTGTATATTTCAACTTATGTACTTTCATAACGTTTTGTTCTCATGAAAAATATATTGACAAACATTTTTTTGTCGATTTATTTTAAAATTATGGTTGAAAATTACTTTTTTTGATTAATTCATTAGAAATTACATAAGAAAATTGGTCTTAACACAACAAAATTCGCTTTATTGAAAGACATTATTTAGTTTATTTATTTGAAAATTTCATCGAAGGAAATTAGGAAATTGCATTACTTACGCAAAGTTAGGAAATTGCAATACTTACGCAATTTCCTAACTTTTCGTTTTGTTTTCATGATTGATTTAGAAAATATTATATATATCTAATATGCAAAAAAAAAACATAAGAAAACTAGTCTTAACGTTACAAAAATCGTAATGGAACATTTTTGGTCGATTTATTTTAAAATTACGGTTGAAAATTACTTCTTGGCTGTTTCATAACTTTCGTTTCATTTTCATGATTAATTTAGAAAATATTATGTATTTCTAATAAGCAAAAATGTTAGTCTCAAAAGATTACAATTTTTTAGTATGCGATTTTTCTAAATTTTAATCAAACATGATTTTTTTAGTAGAAAATTTATGAAATATTGGTAAATAAAAATATAAAAATAAAGAAATTGTTATTTTTGTAATACAAATTTCCTTAATTTTTAAAAATTTTAATGTAAATATGAAAATATTTGTAAAATAAGAAAGTTATGAAATTTTACCATTTTTCGTAAATAATTTTATAGATTTTTGTATATAAATCAATAAAAAATTGAACATATAAATAAATTTGTATTTTCTACCAGTACATAAGAAATTTTACATAAATCAAAGAAGTTATAACTTAATAAACGTATAGAAAACTAGTAAAATAATGTGTTTAATGAAGTAATAAATATTTAAGTTTTTTTATTGTGAATTTATCATAAAGAAATATTGATATTTTTTTTATTTAATGACTGTTAAAATGTTTGGATTTGGAAAGAAACGGACTTCGTGCGAACGTACCGTTTCCAGCATGTTTATGTCTGGCCCTATTACGAGGTGAAAGTATTTTTAGGGCAGGGCAATTAAGTCGGAAATAGACTTTAAAGGCTAAATCGAGTTTAGAACTCTAATTATCCGCCGTAACCATCACTAACTAATTATCTCAAGGAAGCCGCACACACGAGAGACAAAAATTTATTCAAAAAAATATTTCTATTTCTACTATTTTAAAGAAAAATAAATGTTTCCTTTAGATCGACAATTTTAGTAGATTTTGTATGTTAATTTAAAAAAAATTGTGTACTTTTTTCTCATTTTACATAAAATTTAGAATATTTATAAAAAAAAATACTAAAGTAATAATTTCATCATTCTTAATTGATTAATTAAATAAAAAGCGAATGCGTTTTTTCTCATTTTTAAATAAATAATAATGTTTAGAAAATTATCGATTATTTATTGAGAATGTTATCATTTTGATTCAAAAATATGATTCGATTATTATAAATGTTGATCTGATTTGTAATCAAACATAGTTTCAAATCATGATTCATTCACACTCATTGTTGTCCATTTTTTTTGTTCTATTCTTCATTAGTTCCCAAAAACGCAATTACTTCATTGTGCACATTTCCATGGTTCATGTGTACATTCGATAACGCTTTTATCGATAGCCATTTGAAACGCAAACTGATAATGTGGAAACAATTATGTCACAACTCGATATCAATTATTATCTAGACTCGACTAAATATATTTCTTTTTTTTTCGAAATGTTAATATGTACATACATTCGTTTGTAGCACTTAACTAACAACACATTGCGTGCATATTTCCATCAGCAAGGAAAGTCTATTTTAAGACCGTGATCCGTCGCGTTATCATTTCCGTAATTAAGTTAATTAACGCCCACAAGGACACTCTTGATTAATTCGTTTCACACCCGCATGATTTACTCGAGAAACATTAAATTACATAAAAGAAAAATTAATCATTTTTTCAACTAGAATAAAAAAAATACAAGACGTTTAAAATTATGCAACAATTTCATGAATGTAATTAACAAAATGAAAAATGTTTTACTTTTTTAATCATTTTTAATATGTTTTCTTTTTAAATCATAAACTTCTGAAAATCAGTATATCTTCCACGTCTATTAATGGAATGACAGCTGTCAGTTAAATTAAACTGTCATCTGATGTATGATTAAATTTCAAATGACAGCTGTCATATATTCAGGTTCTACTATATTTTATTCATTTAAACTGTCATCTAGTGTTCGATGACATTTTAATTGACAGTTATAAGGTATTCGTTGACACTTAAATTGACAGCTGTCATAAAATAAGTTACTACCGACATAATAAAATAAAGATGTACTACTATGAAAAATAAATAAATCTTACATAATTCATGTTATATACTTAAAATATATCATCCCAGATATTTATTCATGAGGTAATGAAACATTCTTTACTTTGTATTCAATTAAACTCTCATCTGATATGCGATGACATTTGAATTTATAGTTATCACAAGGTATTTGTTGACAGTTAAATTGACAGCTGTCATATAAGTTACTGTAGACTTACTAGTAATAATAAATACATAATTCTTATACAATTTATAAATTTAGTTGAAATATTCCAAATAGTTTCACCGATATTCATATTTCATATTTCACCGATAAACTATTTAATCAATTGAACTGTTATCTGGTGTTAGATGACATTAGAATTGACAGTTATTATAAGATATTCGTTGGCAGTCAAATTGACAGCTGTCATATAATAAGTTACTATCGACTCAATGAAGAAGTAATAATAACAAACCAATAATGATTACATAATTCATGTATATTATTTACTTTTTTGTATCTTGAAAATAAATTATTTCGTACGAAATCGTTACATAAGTAAATATATAAGGAAAATATCAAACATTTCTGAATCAATGTGATTAATATTTCAATGCTGTCTTATTACCTAACGAAAATTGGTATGTATGTCATTTCCTCTTTGCATTATATATATTTTAATTGCGAGCACTCTGTTTGCGTTACGTAACCGAAAAATAAAGTAGTTAATAATAATTAGCATCGTTAACGCACAATTTACTTGATTTGCTTCTAACGAGAAATGAAGTGAAATTTGTACTGTAAAGAATATTTTGATAGTAAAATGTGAATTATTATTATTATTATAATTCAATTATATTTAAGGAAATAATTTCAATCGAACTATTTAGATTTTTTTTCGTAACTGTTTATTTAATTACAGTTAAATTGTCAAAGGAAATTCGAAATGATTCGTTGTGAATGGTAATTTTGTAAGTGGAATAATGGAGTTGTAATGTAAAATTATTTGAAAGTTAAGAAACGTTTTTAAAGGCTAGTATTTGAATGAACATAGACATTTGGTATAATTATAATATTAAGAATAATGATATTTTTGTAAAATGAATGAAAGTTAAGCAATATTTTTAAAGGCTAGTTCTTGAATGAACGAAGAAATTTGGAATAAATGTGATATTAATAAGAACAATGATTGTTAGTGAAATTATTGAAAGTTAATCAAAATTTTTAAAGACTTGTTTTTGAATGAACGAAGAAATTTGGAATAAATGTGATAATAATAAAGTGAAATTATGGAAAGTTAAGCAACGTTTTTTAAAGCCCAGTACTTGAATTAACGTAGACATTTGGTATAATTGTAATATTAAGAATATTAACATTTTTGTGAAATGAATGAAAGTTAAGCAACGTTTTTAAAGGCTAGTTCTTGAATGAATGAAGATTTTGAATTAATGTGATATTGAAACTAATGATTTTATTGTGAAATTATTGGAAGTTAAGCAACGGTTTTAAATGCTAGTACTTGAATAAACGTAGACATTTGGTATAATTGTAATATTAAGAATAATGATATTTTGTAATGTAATATTATTAATAAGATCAATAATTGTTAATGAAATTATTGAAAGTTAAGCAACGTTTTTAAAGGCTGGTACTTGGATTAATGATACATTTTGAATAAATATGATACTAATAATAATGTTTATTGTAGAACAGACATAAATAAATCAAAATAGGAAATTTTCTTATAAATACAAAAATTATTGTTGAATAACTGTAGAAATTGTAGTTATGTAAGATTATCGATGTTAATTACTTGAATATCTGTACAACGCGTTACGTGTCATTGAAATTTGCAACTATTCAAGTGAAACAAATCTAGTTCATCTGCTTGTCTATTAACTACAGTTACTCCAA